GCCGGTAAGAGGCCTGGTGACGCGTGCATCCATCCAGCGCTGAGAACTGGGCTAGGCGGTCCCGGCAGGTGGGGAGTGGCAGGGCAAATTCAACCCGATCTGGGCCCTCCACACAATCAGTACCGAAGGCAGAAGCAAGTGCCTATAAAACAAGGCTGGGCCCAGGAATGTGGTGAAGTCTGTAGGCGTGAAGGGACAGGAGGGAGGTTGGTGGCTGGACAAGCACAGGGGTCCCTGACATCCTAAGAAGGACAGAGACCAGAGCTTGTGCCCACCTGGGAGACGAGTATTATCACATGCTGTCAGTAAAGCATTGATTAGGCTGCCACCTGGGCACTAGATCCTGGTCACCTCTCACCACGTCCACCCGCCATGATTGTCTCTGCCCCCGAAATCTGCCATAGCCTCTCACCTGCTGTGTTTTTGCCCACCCCCACCACCCACCAACCATCTGTTCTCAACACAAGAACCAAGTATCTGGTCTGGACAGAGGACATCCATGTTTACTCTGGAATTGGCCTTTGTGGAATGTCATTAAGGAGGCGGAAGCCCTGCTTTCAGTGACCCCAGGACAGGGCTACGAGCAGAACTACTGTTCCGTTTCCTATTTTCTCATTAAACACAGATAACAGAGGTACGTCCTAAACATCCAAGTAGTCCCTCCTCCTCAGCCCCATGACTTACAATATATAAAAAAGACAGTTCACACTGTATGTTAGTAATGACAGAAGTGGATACTTTAACATGCTTATTAATTTGCTCAGAAAACGATCCCTCTATGATACATTCCGGAGATTTTCCTCCTTTGCATTTAAAGAGTGTTTCCTGCTAAGCATCTGCTGAAATGCAAATCCAGTCCTGTGAGCAGAGGTAAAGGGGAATCTAGTCATGAAATGGCTCCTCTGAAAAGACAGACCGCTGGAAGGCAGGCCCAGGGCCATCTGCCGTCTCTATCTACTTACCTCTCCAGACTTTCTCGTGTAGTCCCACGGATTTTAATTCCATTTACTCGCTGTTCACTGCTGTGCCATTCAGCGGGGGGCCAGGAAGGGAAATAGGACCCAGGCCAGTGATGCATACTGGGAAACTGATCCAGGGAATTGGTTATAGAGATGCTGGGAAAGCAGGAAGAGCAAGCTGGAGAGGGGGAGGTAACCCAGGGGAGAGCATCAGCAGGAAGCTGCTATCCTCCCTCAGGCTGGAGAGGCAAAGCGGGAAAGTGAGGTTTCTGAGAGTTTAGGAATTTGGGAGCTGGGAGCTGGGAAGACAGTCTGTCCACTGGGAATCCAAACCACAGAGGAGACTCGTTCATGCTGGAGAAGCTGCCCAAAGCAGGAAGAGGGGAGAGTACTCTGGCTTCTCCCTTCCTCCTGACCTTTAGTCTTTCTCCTGCCAGTACCTTCTATTGGCCAAACTTTCTCGGAAGCCGCTGGCAAAGAAGCTTGGGAAATGTAGTTCACACGAGTCATCCCTCTCTCCACTCTGACTTCTCCACTGAGCAGAGCAGAGCAGGTAGGAGAAGGACATAATTCAGCATTCCTACAGGGATGGACACTGCTTCTCAATTAATGTCTCCCATTCAGACCTCTTCTCTGAGCTCCTGATTCTTTCTTTCAGGAAAGAGAGGTGTGGCCACATGAATTGCTTTGGCCAATAAAATGTGGGTGGGAGTCACATGTCACTACTCAGGGGAACCCTTAAGAGCCCATGTGGGCTTCACCACTATTTTCCCTTCATGAGGGGCAGCGTTCCAGATAGTGGCTGCTCCATCGGCCTGGGACCTGGGCTGAGGGTGACGATTACTCGGAGATCTGCCAACCCACAACATGTTGCCTGAGCACGAAGTAAGCCTTTGCCGTTGCAAGCTGCTGAGACTTAAAGATGGTTTCTTCAGCTCATCTGGGCTGGCAGAGTCCTCAGTCCCTGGCATGAGCCTGCACATGGCCATCATGGATATCACCACTGACTGTAATTCCCACTGGTTTTATTTATTGATATTCTTTCCACTATGGACCCTTCTCAAACCCCATGAGAGCAGGGCTCCATCTACCTAGTGCACCGTCCCCTCTACTCCCCCTACCCTCCCAGCTTCTAGAAAAGGGTCCCAGGCAGAGCCAGTAGGCAACTATCCATTGATTAAGCCTCTGCTGCCTTGCACATAGAAGCATCTGTTGCTTGCATGCTATTTTGCCAAGGCACCCGGAATGAGTTAGTCTGCGCTCAGGACATCTGAACACCAGAAGCCCAGAGCTTCATGCTGCCACTTGGGTCACACCCTTCCAGCTGACTCCCAGGACACCACGTTGCTCCCAAAGCGACCACGATTCCATGGTCAGAAAAGCCCTGCTCAGTACCACATGCAGCAGAGAAACAAAAAAAGGAATGGAATCTTTGAACCAGAAACATAAGCGTGAGGTCACCCAGAATTAGGTGGGAGGGACAAAATTTATGTTCATACTGTTTTTACCACTAAATGGCAAACAGTTGCTCTAATCTTTTTAAAGTTTTCTATGCCAGCAAAATCGAATTCCCCAGAAATGGCCAAATCTCAAATTTCACTATTGTAACAAAATAGTAGCACCAAAACAAAAAAAACAAACAAACAAAAAAAAAAACTCCAGTGCTTACTCAATTCATACTCCCGTTTATCATCTAGTGTGATCCCTTTTAATGAGAAACCTCCTAGGGCAGGGGAGGGGAACATCTGGTCCATGGGCCACATAAGGTCCAAGAAATCATTTGGTCTGGCCCTGCCAACACACTAAGAGTGAGGTCATTAAATGTTGGACCAAATATAGCAGGCTAATTTTTAAGTTGATAATGTTGTATGGTCTGAGAATGATGTTATTTTAAATTTCCAAATGGCCCTTGGCAGAAAAAAGGCTCCCCACCCCTGTCCCACGTCAACCAGAGTAAGGGAATCACGTTCTATTTATTTAGCTTAGTCTAAACCCTATGCAAAGAGACTGCATCCTCAATAAGCAGGTGTATTTTGTTTAACTTGCAAAAAAGAAGTGTATCACAGCCCTAACTGGTTTGGTTCAGTGGATAGAGCGTTAGCCTGCAAACTGAAAGGTCCCAGGTTCGATGCCGGTCAAGGACATGTACCTAGGTTGCAGGCACATTCCCAGTAGGGGGTGTGCAGGAGGCAGCCGATCGATGTTTCTAACTCTCTCTCCCTTTCCCTTCCTCTCTGTAAAATAAATAAATAAATAAATAATTTTTTTTTTAAAGTGTATCACAAAGACACCAATTCACTTAACACTGGATCTGAAACTATCAACTTTTGACATCAATACGTGGCCATGTCTGCAAACCTGTCCGACCCACATTCAATTTAACCAGATCCCCATTCACCTGCGGTTGAACCTTAGCAAAGTGAGCTCCCCCCACGTTCCCCCATAGGCTGAAAACGGGACAGTTTCAGTTCTGCAGGTCTCCCGAACACAAGGCCACCTTCAGACAGAGGAAACCATTTACACATGGTGACAGAAACAGGACATTTTCATAGTGGCTTTCATACTTAAGAGTGGACCCAACTTTTCCTGAACTCGGTCGCTGTCACTAACACTGCCTAGAGCACTATCTATTGCATCTTAAAAGTAAGAAAAGAAAGCTCATCAGAAAAACACACCGTGGACGAGGACTGGATGTCCGTGTATACAATGGTTTTTACTTCCAGCATGACAGACTTTATTTTGGCACTTGAACAAATATTTTGCTTTACAGCAGTGACAAAGTATTTGCTAGAAATGTTCTCTTCCTGGCATCGATTTTCCCAGCAGTTTCTCTTCTCCGAACTGACTTCCCCTAGGCCCCGGGCAGGGGGAGGTAAGCCCACTAGATCCTTCGCCCGCAACCGAGGGGCCCTGTGCAGCGTTAGAAGCTGCGATCACTGCCTTTTCATCCCTCCAGAGTGGACAGACGCTGCCTGTAGCGGACAGGAATTTGAGAATTCGAGCCACTAAGACTTTAAGTCAACACTCTTCCAAGTATTGTTTTAAATTAAAAAAAAAAAAAATAGTAAGTCCTGTGGCAATTCCAGGGGATTGTCTCTAAATGAAGTATTCCTATTTATTAAAAGTAAATTCTGTGTTGAAAAGGTTAGTGCTTTTTGCTGTCTTCTTCTTATCCTGGCAGCCCACAATTTAAGAGAAAATAAATGGGAAAGTAGAAAAAGTACCCAGGCAGGAGACTCTCACTTCAATCTCCCCCTCCCTGCTTGCTGCAATTTCAACCCTCAGCAGCTAAGGCCCCCTGTTCATGCACAGAGCCGCCCCGCCCTTCTCTCCTCCCCAATGGTGTCAATGGTGGGAGTTCCATCTATTAGTGCTTCACTTAGGCTGCAGGAAAGAGTTGGACCACAATTTCAAAGGTAAATCAACCTATAAAGTTAAATCTCAGCACTAGCCAGTTTGGCTCAGTGAGTAGAGCGTCGGCCCATGGTCTGAAGGGGCCTGGATTCCATTCAGGTCAAGGGCACATCACTTGGTGGAAGGTGCAATCCCTGGTCTTGGCCTGGGCGTGTGTAGGAGGCAACCAATCGATGTGTCTCTCTCACATCAATGTTTCTCTCCTCCTCCCTTCCAATCTAATTAAAAAAAAAAAAATCAATGGGAAAATATCCTCAAGAGAGGATTAACAACTAACACAAACTCTCAGATACCAACGTCAGAAAACTCCCTTCTGCTCTTTGGAATTTATTGCCCTAAAAACTGCAAAAGCAGGCGCCTGTCTCCATATTGCCAACAGCTACCTGACTAAGGTTGCAAACTTCCGTTCCCACCCTGGCAGTCTTCTAATAGCCACGCCCCATTGCACACAGGATGACACATTCAGCTTTCCTCCGGCCAACAAGGGGCTCTCGTGTTGGGACGCGGACGCTGTGGACCGCTCAGAAGTCAAACCCGCACCATCCCTGAGGGCGGGCCGTCCTTCGCCAAGGGAAGACGCCCACTGGATCGAAATGTGCAAAATTTATAACAGTGACATTTTCCATGATGAGGCCACATGATTTATTCAGTAGTTTTCATGTTCCCAAATTACAATTTAGGTCTATTCATCAGTCTACAAAAAAAGTTACCATTAGAATTGTCTGTGCTTATAAAATACCAACTTTTTTTTTTTAACTGTTATATATACTCATTAACACCAGTCTGTGACAAGTTACATAGAATCATAGGCACTTCAAAGGCTTAAAAAGACGCTTACAACTTAAATGCATTTTTAAGAACAAAAACAGACTTTTCCTCAAACTCCTACTCGTACCTTCAAATGGCAAGAAATTAACAAATACAGTGGCCGAAGGAATCTGCAGCAACTTCTCAAAATACTGTTAGCATCTTTGGGTTTGCTGAGGCTTGTCTGTCACTCAACATCAAATCCTCCCAAAGGAAGATCTGATTAGAGATGACACAACCGTTTTCTGGTAATAATCCAATTTTACACATTACTTTGCTCTTGCAAATCTGCCTGAAGCTACAGGTCATGAAAAACAAAGTGTAAAATGGATAGTCTGACACTTAAAAAAAAAAAAAAGGTTAAAGTTTACATGTTTGAAAATCACATATACACTCCCTTACCATTACCTAAAATTATCCAAAGACAAATTGCACTGTAACAGCTACAAAAGGCTAGAGTCTTGTTTTGTTTTGTCACGGGACACGAGGGGAGAGCAGAGGAGGAGAAGGGAACAACAGATAAATTAACAAAGTAAGACCCACGTGGCTAGGTCCGTGGGAGACATGCTGACGCAAATTAAACAGCGTAAAAAACAATCATTGGCGCATCCAAGTTTAGACCGATCCCATGAACATGGAGAATTTTCATAACAATATTTTGCCACTGCTACTCACAGAACACTGCAGATGTTACGTTTTAATTATTTTAGGTTGTTCTAAAGAAATACATGTAAAGTTTTGTTGTTGTTTTTTTTTAAATACAATGGGGTTTTATCACTAAAGTGCCAAAATGGCTCTTTAATGAAAAACAAAACAAAACAAAAACAAAACAAAAAAACCCAAAGATCTTCATTATTCTATGCAAAAGCTTTATTTGTTTAAAGTTCCGTGATCTCATAAATAGAGACACTCTCTGGGAGTCTCACGCATAAAACTCCTTAGTGGGTGCCTTCTGGTATGCTGCGCTGGATGGTTTGCGTTCTCCAAGGTCATAGCTCCCCTCATCCTTCTTTCTCATGCGGTACACCAGCAGCAGGATGAGGAAGATGGCGAAGAGGAAGCCGATCACTCCACCAGCGATGACGGCTGAAACACACCGAGAGGGAGGCTGCTCTCAGAAGGTTTGGGGGCTGCAGAAGTGGCTTTGTCACCCCCACCTACTTCACAACACTTTCATGAAAGGCTTAATTGGAACCCCCCCCACCCCCCCACCCCCCACCCCAAATGTTAAAACCTGGATTCAGCCGAAACCGGTTTGGCTCAGTGGATAGTGTGTCAGCCTGTGGACTGAAAGGTCCCAAGTTCGATTCTGGTCAAGGGCATGTTCCTGGGTTGCGGGCACATCCCCAGTAGGAGGTGTGCAAGAGGCAGTTGATCGATGATTCTCTCTCATCGATGTTTCTAACTTTCTATCCCTCTCCCTTCCTCTCTGTAAAAAAATCAATAAAATAAAATAAAAATAAAACAACAAAAATAAACACCTGGATTCAAGGAAGCAACCAGGCATGTGTGCTAATCTGACATTCCTTCGGAAGGTACAATCCTGTCTTTGATTTGTATGAATACTATCACCCAGAAGCCTCATTAAGATACATCTAGCTGTGAGGCTCAACTAATTCCATCCTTTAAGATTCTTTCATCTTTTCAGTTCTCACCTTTCACAGTTTCATCTAACTGGTTTTCCCATGAAACAAAACATGATATGATTTACTTAAGTTTTATAAGAGGAGGGGGTGGGGGGAAGCTTGCAATTTTTTTTTTTTCTAGACTTGAATTTGGGGCTATCCTTTCAAGGATATCGTGTTCTTAAATCTTGCCCATCTTCCCCTTTAAACTCAAATGTTCATGCTTTCATCAGAAACATCACAATGAGAGCAACACCCGTGATGCCTTGAGTGTTCCTTGTGTCCATTGCCTTCTCCACCTAGAAGTTTTGCTTCTCTTTCATTCACGTTGAGAATGCCTTGGATCAGGATGGACGGATGGATCTTTCCATCCTCCCCTCCCCCACGCCCAGTTGTTCTGGAACAATCTACACCTTCACTTTCCTCTTCTGTCCCAACCCCCCATGGGCAGAAAACAAGGAAGTTTGCCTAGCTCTTGCCTCTCATTCTGGAATGAGACACGCTCCCCTCCCCACCCCCTCTCCCAGGCTGCGCTCCTTAGAAAGATGACATTCTGCAGACTTTGCCTTCACCCCTGAACCTCACTTAGACAAACAGAGACCCTCCCCTCTGACCCCTGCCAGGCGACTTACCTGCCAGGACTTCTGTCCTTTTAAACAGATTGTCCGGGTGCTTCTCAGTGAACACATTTGTCTCCTCTTCGTCTGGGTCCCTTTTCCTTTCTGAGTCAGGGTGGTGAACTTCTTTCTCCTCAACGACGTCTTCAGGTGACTGGTATGGGGAAAGGGGAAGGGCGTACAGATTTGTTAATGTGTTAAAAAGGAAAGTGAGTCTATGTCAAAGTCGCTTTTTTATTTTTCCCCAAGGAGTTCAGGAAATAATTGGGATAATCACTCTGTGTGATGTTTTTACCAAACGGGGGAGTTCTATCATAAACCCATGTAGTTTATAGGGCTTTTTGGTTTGTTTTCAAATTCTTTATTGTTAAAAGTATTACACGAGTCTCCTTTTCCCCCCCATTCTCTCCCAGCCCACTCCCTCTCCCCAGCACAAGCCCTCACCCGCTACAGTCTGTGTCCACTGGTTATGCTCATATGCATCATACAAGTCCTTTAGTTGATCTCTTACCACCCGCTCACCCTCCCAGGTCTTCCCTCTGTGATTTCGACGGTCCGTTCGATGCTTCTCTGTCTTTGGATCTATTTTTGTATTTATCAGTTTATATTGTTCATTATATTTCACAAATGAGTGAGGTCACGTGATAATTATTTTCTCCAACTTGCTTATTTCGCTTAGCACAAAGCTCTCCAGGTTCATCCATGCTGTTGCAAATGGTAAGAGTTCTTTTTTTTACAGCAGCATAGTATTCCATTGTGTATTTGTGCCACAGTTTTTAATTCACTCATCTGCTGATGGGCACTTAGGTAGTTTTCAAGTCTTAGCTATTGTAAATTACACTGCTATGAACATAGGGGTGCATACATTATTTCTGAGTGGTATTTCTGATTTTTTGGGGTACATTCCTAAAAGTGGAGTCAAATGGGAGTTCCCTTTTTAGTTTTTTGAGTAAACACCGTACTGTTTTCCACCAATGTGCACCCCCACCAGCAGTACAGGAGGGTTCCTTTTTTCCCCGCATCCTTGCCAGCACCTGTCATTTGTTAATGGTACCTATTCTGACAAGTATAGATGGTACCTCATTTTCCTTTTAATTTGCATCTCTTGGATGATAAGTAACTTTGAATATTTTTTCATATGCTCCTTAGCCTTCTGTATGTCCACTTTCAAAAAGTGTTTTTGTCCATTTTTTATTGAATTGTTTATCTAGTTCATGGTTTGTTTATAACAGAAAACCATGTGTATTGGCAAGATGGAGAATTCACAACAATCCTTAATGCTGGATGTTGGGCGCCATTTAATGCCAGAGGTCTTGATCCAGCATCTAGAAGGATTCAGCAATCTGGAGAAGGGGCTGTGCATAAATTAAATAAGAGTCCAGAGACGAAACATAATTTTGAAAGGCATTTGGCGGGAGGAGGGGGAGAGCAGAGGAGCTTGGCTGAAGAAACCAAGTTCTCCTTGTCTCAGGACCCCTTGCTTTTTTATTAACACAATTTGTCCTAAGGCAAGGTAGAGATATATACATCAAAGGCCAGGGTTAGTCTACAGAGTCCATTGTCAGATTGGGGAGGAGGCAATAAAATGTAGATTAAGATGCTCTGAGCTGTCTGGCAGCAAGCAATCATTCTTTTTAGATTTGGGGAAATGCCTTTAACCATCCCAGATGATTCAGCCCTTGCTGACATGCTAGAATTGGCTTCCAGCAAATCCTGATGACATGGTTAGGTTTTTTTAGTTGACCTGCAAAAGATCTCTTCTTTCTCACACTCCTCTGACCTCAGGCCATCTTTCCCGATGACTCTTCAGCCCAGGGCATTGTAGCAGTGCTTACTCCATCCATTTGTCACACCTAGTAGTGCGACAGCTTCCTATCAGGCACTGTCTCCAGGTGCTCTCCAAGGGTTCTTTCTGACCCCTCTCTGTGGGGAGTACCCCCCAGACTTGCTCTATAACCCTCACCTCTACTCATGCATTCTTGCAGCTCAAGGAGCCCTGAGCTAGAGCTTCAGGGGACGTGGGTGCTGCAAGTAGCTCCTGTGTGACTCTAGGTCGCACCCCTTTTCTGGACCTCAGGTTTGGTGTGTTTGTTTTACCAATGAAGACCACGCTCAGGCTCTTGTTTACTCCACAATTCCAAAGCCTCAAACTAGTGAGTCCAAATGGTCAGCCGTGACAAGTGGTTCAAATAAATAGAAACGTGGTAAAGCCAAATGCACGTTCAAGAGCCACAATGGATAACTGTGCCACACGCGCTCCGGGGTGTTCCGCCATCCCACCACCTGCATTTCCCACCTCCCCCTTCTTTCTTTCATTCATTCAACGTAAGACATTTATGGAGCAGCTACCATGCACGGGCAAGCACATGCTAGGTGTGTGTGCCTCACTGCTCACAGAGCTTCTCCTTCTTCTCCTATCACCTGGCCTGTGGTGCCGATCAGCGACTGACCCTTCTTGGTCCTACAGAGAGCACTCCAGTCTGGAGAAGGTTGACCTGGCTACTCCACATCTGTAGACACCCTTCCAGCTGTGCCATTCACCACCCTCCACAGTCACTGGGAGGACAGAGGATGGAGGATGGGGGAGGGTATGGCAAGGGGGACGGACAAACGCCCTCAATAAGGGTAGGAAAATGGAAGGGCAGGAAGCCCACCTGTGTTATTACCTGTGTAATAAGCGCTTCTTATTCCAGAAAAGGCCTGTCACTGCCTGCATGACACACAGCCTTGCACATCCTACCTGCTACCGAAGCTTGGCACCAACACATGGGTGAGCTCCAAGAAGAAGTAATGTTAATCAGATCCCGTAAGCAGCACACTGCCTGGGCTGTCTACGAGGTCTACCACTGCAGTTGTCACACATGTTTATTTGGCAAATTGGCTTCGTCTCCACTGCTCTGACCAAATTCAGTTAAGACTTATAGAATGTTTACCAGGACTCAAGGGCCATGCAACCGGCCCTTGCATTTAATCTTTCTCAATGATCCATGATAAATGGGCTCAGAGAAGCTCAGAAATTTGACCAGATCCAGGATTTAAAACCCAGGCTTTCTTCAGACTCTAATATGCATTTTCCAACATAAAAAGCTTATCTAGTAGTGGGTGGCCAGCTCACATTGCCAGTTCATGGCAATGTAACATTAGTAAAGCCAAAATCACAAGTCTTAAGAGTTTTGTTTAGCTAGTCCCTTTGCTCTGCTCTCATTTCTTATGTCAGCTATCAAAAGGAATATATATAGAGATGTTCTAAGATCATTATTATCATTGAAAGAGGTCCAAGTTTATATACCATTGATGATGAGCTGGTGGAGACTGAGAAAAAACTTATTGCAATTAATATCTGGAGTCCCTTTACTCCATAACCTAGTTCAGCATATGTAAATTTCCCATGGTTTTAACTCAGAACAAAGTCTTTATGGAATGAAAATAAATTGTCTTGGCTTGAGACAAATTAATAAAAATGACTTTGTTTCTTAATTTGCCTGTGAGTTCCTTTAAAAGGACCACCCTTTGAAAAACATTTATGTCGCCAAGGCGGTGTGGCTCAGCGGTTGAGCATTGACCTGTGAACCAGGAGGTCACAGCTTGATTCCCATCAGGGCGCATGCCTGGGTTGCAGGACTATCCCTAGTAGGAGGCGTGCAGGAGGCGGCCAATCAGTGATTCTCTGTCATCACTGAAGTTTCTCTCTCATTGATGTTTCTAACTCTCTATCCCTCTCTCTTCCTCTCTGTAAAAAAAATCAATAAATTTTTTTTTTTTTAATTAAAATAAATAAATAAAAACAAAGTCTACTTAACAGACAAAAAGAATAGTCACAGTGAGTAAAAGGTAGTAAGTAAGAGCCATTTACAACAATGTGTAACAAGAGACCATTTGTCCTCCCCTATTGTAAAATGGCGCCCCTTAAAGGAACTGGTCTGCATCATGAAATGAAAGAGCGTTCGTAGGAACCTGACAGCGCAGCGCAGTGCAGAACAAAACCCACCTTCGTCTGAGCAGGTATCTTGTTCTGCATCTTCAGCGTCGTGGTTTCCACTCTGGGAGCAGCACTGGAGGACGGGATTTTTGCAAGCGGTCGAGATGTTGTCAGCTCAGGACTCTCTACATCCTCATCCGCTCCTGGGGGAAGAAGCAAAGAGGAGCTGAGGCCATGAATCACGATCCAGGTCTCCGCAGTATCAGATGATACTGTCAAAGGCTGGCGCCAACAGAGCCATGTTCTTTCAACACGGCTGCTCATCACTGTCGAAACCAGTTTGGCTCAGTGGATAGAGCGTCCGCCTGCGAACTGAAAGGTCCCGGGTTCGATTCCGGTCAAGGGCATGTACCTTGGTTGCGGGCACATCCCCAGTAGGGGGTGTGCAAGAGGCAGCTGATCGATGATTCTCTCTCATTGATGTTTCTAACTCTCTATCCCTCTCTCTTCTTCTCTGTAAAAAAATCAATAAAATATATATATTTTTAAAAGTGATTAAAACAAAAACAACAACAAAAATGACTGCTCATCAAGAACTCGGCAGCGTGCACCGGGTGAAGACATGATTTCAAAGCGGACCTGTGGGGAGCCTGGCACATTTTAAAAAGAACACCATCCTGAACATTCTCCAGTAGTCCTTCTTTTATTGGGAACAGCTGATCGTTCGGCTCAGTGAGATGTCTTCCCTTCCACATGCTCTACTTTCCCCTCTAAAACAATAACCAAAAAAGGAGAACTCTCCATGGCTGACCTGGGTCCCCTCGGCTAGGCCAGACTTTTCCACTGGTGCCGTAGCTACTCACAGGCTCATCTTCTCCCCTCCCTCTAGTCATAGAAGTTTCCTGTCATCACACACACGATGGTCCTGTTTGCCTAAGGTCACCAACGTCCGCCATGTTTCCACATCCAGTGGCATTTTCCACAGTGGCTCTCATTTAATCGCATCTCCTAGCACCACTGCGCACTGGTCGTCCATCATCTCCTTCTGGAAACTTTATCTCTGGGCTTCTGTGATTTTTGAATTTCCCTTGCCTCTCGGCTACTTGTCTCCTTTGCAGATTCATTCACTTCTACGTGGACACAAAATATCAACACTTCCTTAGGATTCGGCCCTAGGCTGCTTTTTAATGTATTTATATATTGATTTCAGGGAGGAAGGGAAAGGGAGAGAGAGACAGAAACATCAATGATGAGTTAGAATCATTAATTGGCCGCCTCCTTGCATGCCCCACACTGGGGATGGAGCTTGCAACCCAGGCGTGTGCCCCGACTGGGAATCAAACTATGACCTCCTGGTTCATAGGCCAACGCTCAGCCACTGAGCCTTGCAGGCTGGTGGCCCTAGTTTTCTTACTCTGCACTTTTTATTCTCATCCCTGCTCATGGCTTCAAAGACCAACCAAATATAAAAGAAGACTAAGTTTCTATAGTAGCTTTTATCACTTCTCTGAAATTCAGATGCACAGATCCACACGCCTACCTGACATTTTACTGGATGACTCAACTGTACGACACACCTCTAAGATATGCGAAAGAGAAATCATCGCCTCCCCCCCTCTCGCCCCACAAACCTGGTGACACCTTGCCATGAATGAACCTCCACTCCGATAAACCACAACTCTGACTTCCTCTTCCTCACACCCCATCAGGCCAATCGCCCAGTTCTACTGATCTTACACCTTCTTCTGTCTCTCCATCCTAACACCTTTCCACAGCCCCAGGGCAACCCCACTCATCCAAGCCATGGTAACCTTTCCAGGAACCATCATCCCTGCCTTCCTCCTAAGAGCCCCCTTTCAGTCTACTATACACACACCGGCTGTGACCCCATCCTCCTCCCATTTTAAACTATTATCCTGGGTCCAACCAGGGTGGCTCAGTGGCTAAATTGATCATTGACCTATGAACCAGGAGGTCACAGTTCGATTCCCGGTCAGGGCACATGTCCCTGTTGTGGGCTCAATCTCCAGTGTCGGATGTGCAAGAGGCAGCCGATTAATGCTTCTCTCTCATTACTGATGTTTTTACCTCTCTCTCCCTCTCCTTTCCTCCCTGACATCACTCTCAAAACCTGAAGAATAAGATGAAAAGCTAATATTGACAGAACACTGACCACGTGCCAAATCCACGTTTATTATTTCCTGGGACATTCTGAAGATGACAGTTAGTCAGAAAGCACTGTGGAGGTGCTAAAGAGGAAAAAGAGGTGCCATGAGCAAAATATATTAATAGAGGTTGTGGGCTACGGAGAAGCACTCTTTTCACACTCAATCTGTGTGTGCAATATATATCACTCTCCCGAGAATAACGGGGGCTATTTTTACATTGGGATTGCACTGTAGGCTCATTGTTACTAGGTCAGCCACAACCTCACTTGTCTTTGTCAGACTTGCCATTGGCTAACTTAAAACGCTCACTCTTGTGGAGTGAGATCTCTACCGCAGATACAGTGGGTCTGGATTTATTCCGGGTCGCTTTGAAACCAGGCCAATCTGATTATCAGACAACTGTGTTCAGCCTAACTTTTACCAGCTGTCGAACTTACAATGGAGGTTTAAAGTAAGAAAGGTCCTGAACAAAACTTTCCTAGAGGTGTTGCTGACCACGGATCCCTAACGTGGTCATTAATGAAGTATATGCACAAGCTCTTCCTCTTTTCAGCTTCTTGGGGACCTTTCCTGGCCCAGGGGAAACGTGTACTGTGTACCGAAGATTGTGGAAATGGCCAGAGTCGCTCATTCCTCCTCGTTCTCACGTCCTCGGCAATGCCCCTCTGTAGCTCTTTCGTTAAGAGGTGGCGTATGGGCCAGCCTTGCTTTGACCGGTAAAAGGCGGTAGGGATGCTGTGCCAGTTCTAAGCCGAGGCTTTAAGAGGCTTTGCACCGTTCTGCTCTCTGGGGATCCCTGCCTCCACCCTGTGAACAAATGGCTGGCCTACTAGAGGATGAGAGACCATGTGCCATGTGGGCCAGAGCCAAGTCTGCCCAGCTGCTCCAGACATTTGACCAAGTCCAGCCAAGGTCAGCAAAGCTGCCTTCCCCAACTGCAGCTGACCATGGGCGCGTGCAGGAGCCCATTTAGCCCAGGAAACTGCCAACCCACAGAACGAGGAGCTAAATGTGTGACTGATGTTTTCATCCACAGCGTTTGGGGATGGTGTGTTATACAGCATCACAGAGGCCACGGATAACTGATACACCAAGGAGCTGGGGCTATCCCTGCTACATTCCCCCTTCTATCGATACTTTTGAGCAATACCCTAAGACCATGGTCGGCAAACAGTGGCTCGTGAGCCACATGTGGCTCTTTGGCCTCCTGAGTGTGGCTCTTCCACAAAATGCCATGACCTGGGTGAGTCTATTTTGAAGAAGTGGTGTTAGAAGGAGTTTCAGTTTAAAAAATGTGGCTCTCAGAAGAAATGTCAATCGTTGTTACTGTAGATATTTGGCTCTGTGGACTAATGAGTTTGCCGACCACTGGACTAGGAGTGGTCGGCAAACTCATTAGAACTCTCCTAGGTGTCACCCATAATCTCCAACCCAGCGTTGGCAGTTTTATAAAACTAGTGTTTGAAGGATTTGTTTTGAAGGAGTTGTGTTTTCATGACATCACTCTCAAAATCCGAATAATAAAATGAAAAGCTAATATTGACAGAACACGGACCACGTGCCAAGCAGCAAACACTTAAGAGCTCCGAGATGTGCCAACCCCTTTATAGTCCTCACAGCATGCCTGTGTGGCAGGGGCCTCCCATTCTCTGCATGAGGAAACTGAGGTCCGGCCAAGGTAAATACACCCCCGAGACCTCACAGCTGAGGTGGCGGGGAGCTGGATCTCACACCCAGGCACTTGGACACAAAGAGCGTGCTCTGTACCCCTGTGCACCTCGCCTGACTCCCTGTGTGTGCGTGTGTGTGTGTGTGTGCGCGTGTGTGTGTGAGTGTGTGTGTGCATGTGTGTGTATAAGTGCAAACATGGAGAACGGAGGCGAGGGTGGGCCTTACCGGAGCCTGATGCAGAAGCATAGTCGTCGTCATCAATGGGATACACTCCGGACGCGAACTCAATGGAGCTGTTGTCCAGGTATATGTCCTTGTCAGACGTCAGCTCTGCCCTCTGAGGAAGGAAAGAGAAGGCAGGGGTTCAGGATGGTGAGGAAAGGAGGGATGTGCTTAGTGCTGTCCTCTTCAGGTTTACAATGCAGTGACCGCCCCTCCCTCTCCTCTGTGCCCCTGAACCCCCACTTCTGGCCCTGCCCTTCCTCAGGACTCCCTGTGAATGTACATGAAGGCCTGGCCACCGACGAAAGCCCCTAGGGAGGTCCAGGTGGCCCAATCCACAGAACGAAGATGGCACAGAGACCGCAGTACCAAATCAGCGTGGGATTTGGTTGCATTCCGCTAACCAGAGCTTGGGCGGCCCAGAGCTGGTTTTAAGCCATCTCCGGCATTCCCTCGGTCACTGTCACTGCGCAGCACCCTGACCAAGAAAGCTGCAGAACACGGAAATCACTCCAGACTTTCTTGGGGATGCCTACAAAGGGATGAAGGCGCTTAGGCTAAATCATCACCCAGGGATCCATCAAGGCCCACCGACGTCGGCCGGCCTGGCCATGCTCAGAGCTCTGACCAAAATTAGCACGACAGCCAAGTGCTCCCAGGGGCCCGGGCAGGCCAGAGCTTTCCGCCACAGCCCAAGTCCGGGCAGAGGCCAGGCACGGCACCGTCCGAAGAGCAGGGCCCGTGACGCCCAACGGCCAAGGGCGAAAGCCCGCCTCGGGCCCGCTCCCACCGCTCGCTGGCTCAGCAGAGCCTTCACAGCCAATGCAGATACCCCACACGCGCACACTCTTTTCATTTGTGTTTAATTTCTTTATTGATGAAGGTATCACGTATGTGTCCTCCTCCCCCCCGTTCCCATCCTGCACATTCTCTTTGTGTTTCTGCCTCTTGGTAGCAGCGGATCGCACGCCGGCTACGTCGGATCCCTTTCTACATATACCAGTTCCACCGCTTTCAGCTCTTCAATGAAAGGAACGTGCAGGCATGGAAGGCAGAGGAGACACACAATTTTTTTTTCTTTTTTTTTTTCCCAAATGGTTTTAGTAAACTGATCTTTTGCCACCAGTATCTCCTCAGAGCCCACAGACAAAGAAAGCAGACTCGGCCTCGAAACAATATTTGTGTTTGGAAGCAGGGTCATGCTCTTTAGTGCCCTATTTTTAAAAGTCAAATAGAACGTCTGTGCCCAACAGGATTAAAAAAAAAAAAAAAAGTTTCCTTCAGTCCATTGGCTTTCATCAGATTTCCTCTGGAAATAAAATAAAACTTTCTGTTCTATGACTGGAACCTTCTCAGGCGGACAGCCGGGCCCAGCCCTCTACAACACTGCCACTTTATTCTCTCAGGTTTCAGCTGCTGGCTGGGGACGCCCAAGTATTTTAAACCTGAGCCCACACCCCCCCCCCTTTCCCCCCTGCTCCCCCCACTCCCCGATTTCAGTGCCAACTGACGGGAAAGCCTGGGAACCGGTGTATCTGAGCCACCACACACCGGCGCATTCTGAGCCGAAACCTGAGGGGTTGGTTTCCAGCGGACTGGCTCCGGGCATTGAATGACCAGCCTGGGCCAGGAGCGTGCTGGAATGTTTCTGCTCCGATGGTCAGAGCTTAACGCTGTGATCTGAGGCCATCCTGCCTCAGATCAGGTCCCAAGGCTATCACCATGCCAGGCCATGATTCCCAGAGCTCATCCATCGTGTCAGGAGCCCTGCCTCCCACGGCTCTACCATCTACTTAAATGACCCCTATGGCACTCACTCGGCTCCCTGGACAGCAGGGACTGTCTTCGGTTAGTCATGAATCTACCCCAACGCCCCACAGTCTCCGTGGTCTGGCAGATAGCAGGTGCTCAGTTAATGCTGTGTGGGCCGTGTGTGCTCACACCGAAAAGCAATTCTCAGCCCTGCCTGCATTACCCTTTGTCCTGTGCCCTCTCCATCTTTCTCAAAGCCTGTCTACTCCCAAACAGCCTCTGACGACTCCGGTCCTTCTATGCCCCCTTGTTATCAATGGCTATTTTGGATTTTGCAGCATATGGACAATTTAAGACACACATAGTCACCAGCTATTTAACTGTCACGTGTGGATTTCTCTCACCCCTCAGCTGAGTCCATTCTCTGTGGCCTGTGGATGCTCCTTAATAAATATTTGTCGACCGAGGATCTAAAATGAAACAGCCTTTGTCTCGGGTTTCAGAGTTAACACGCTCCGGGCTCCTGATGGTTAAAAATCTCTCACGTCTGAGCCTGGGCGATCATCTGCCCCGAACGTGTTGCACTGCATCCAGTTAGGTAACTTTAGAAGAGTCTTTAAAAAAAAAAAAAAAAAAAAAAAAAAAAAAAAAAAAGTGAAGTGTAAGGCTCCGTCTTCCTATCAGCAGCTCACTGGATGCCTCGCCCTCTCCTCCTGGCTCTGTCAGGGGAGTGTGACGTGGCGTGGGAAAGGCGAAGATATTCGATCCCTGCGTGTAAATTAAATCTCTCTTCATTAGATGACCCAGCTGTCCGGACTGACAACATCCTTCAGACTAAAAAGCAGATGGGCAGGCGCATCTCCCAGAGAGTTCTGGACACTCCACAGTGCTCCCAGCCCGACTGCACACAGAGCCGGACGAGCAGCCACTGCCCCATGCCCACCGGCTCCTGCCAGGAGCTGTCAGGGCAGGGGGTGTCCGGAGAAGCTGACTTGCCCTCAGCTACTAGGGGTCCGCAGGGCCAGGATGGGTGATGCGCTTGCATGGAGCCAAAAGTGCTGGTCCCTCCTCCGTCCCATGTGGCAAACAAACCATCTCACATCAAACCAACAGCCATCGCCCGCTCCGGTGCCGGGCGCACCGAGGAATCACCCCATTCCTTCCAGGGAGTCCAGTGTCACCGTAAGCAGGCCCTTCTCGCTCCGTAGCAGATACCCCTCCAACAGCATCTCCAGGGTCTTTCCTTGAAACAGAAAATACCTTTCCGAATGGGACAGATTCCTTTGTGCGAAGCAGCCACACTGTGCCCTTAGCATGCCTGGAGGGGGACATGGGTTGGGCACCGACATTCCCTTAGGCCAAGACGTGTGCATCTCTGAGAGAGCCACCAAGAGGGGTGACTCCAGACAACTGCTTTCACACCCAGCCACTCCCCACCCCTACACACCCACACACACACACTCACACACACTCCGAACACCCACTGGCTGGATGAGAGAGAGCCACCTGATGCAAGGACCCGGGAGGGAAGGCGCAGAGCCGTGGCCGCCAAGGGCGGAGCAGTCGCCCTACCGGAGGATTCCACCGCAGCGAGGTGGTTTAATCTGAGACTGACCATTTCTTTTTTCTTTTTTTTTCTTTTTTAAGTAACGAACTAATGAGTTTGCCGACCACGGCACTACATGAATGCCCTCTGATGCCCTAAACTAGTGGAACCTGTAAGATCATTAAAGCTCCATGCAGTAGGTGTTACGTCACTTCACGGTTTAAACGTAGGTTAGTCACAAAGTCAGACAGTCGCGAACACCACCCGCCCACCCACCCCTGGACCCAACCTTCAGGAAGTTATGTGGACACAACAGTAGAATATCCACGCTGCCTGCCATCACATTCCGTTCCACATCACAGAAAGCAGATGATGCCTCTTAGTCTTAGGATAAAGGCACATCCAGTCCTGATGTTGATTCCGTCCTAAAGTTTATGGTGATTACCAAGTGCCACGCCGACTGTAACTCTGGCTTATCTTTCCGGAGGTGACCCAGTAAACTATTTTATTACGAGCAGACACACATATTAAATGAAGCAATTTCTCCCACACAGTGGCTCAGAGATCATGTGCTTTGCCCTTTAGATGAACTTGCCAATTCTGGCCTCTAGAGTATAACCCAGCGTCGGCAAACTCATCCGTCCACAGAGCCAAATACTACCAACAGGACAACGATTGACATTTCTTTGGAGAGCCACATTGTTTAAACTTCAACTTCTTCTAACGCCACTTCTTCAACATAGACTCACCCAGGCTGTTGTATTTTGTGGAAGAGCCGCACTCCAGGGGCCAAAGAACACAGTTTGCCTACCACGGGTCTAACCCAAAGGAGCCTATAATATTAGAGTTTGACAAAGAAATTACAGGCATCATTTTTCCCCCCTGAAGTTAAAAGAAACAGAACATAATAGTGGCAAATTAGCTAAAAAAAAAATTTAAAAAAAAAAATTATCCAATCAAGTTAGTGGCCAAAAGGAAGGCCAAAACTTTGGTGACCTTACTCTGGGCTCTTTCTGTTGCCTTGTGATGACCCAGAACGTGAAGACATTAGAGCCATCCGGCCTGGCGAGCAAAGGATTAGCTCCAGCTAACCCTTAAATGTCCCATAGGTGCCAGGCATTCTGAGCTGTGTGTTCACAAACCCGGACACACTTTGCCGCCTCTACAATCTCTACCACAGACCGAGGAACGGAGGCTTACTGAGGCTTTCCTGAAGACCTCCAGCTCAGGCAGGGAGCGGGGATTCCAGCCCAGAGGAACTCCGACATGTGAACTCAATGAAAGTGTTGGCCACGCTGGGCCTGTCCCCACCCCACTTTGCTTGTGATTTGCATATAATCGTAAAAAGGCCCTGAGAAGAAGCGTAAATAATCATGCTGCAGTCTGCTTGATTCAGCACTTTCAAACACTAGCGATGGAAAGTCACCCTCCCTCCCCCTTCCAGAGCCAGACTATCCATTTAATATCCTTCATCCCCCAAGAGGTCCCAGATTCTGAGTGGGCGCAGGCCAGGCCAAGGGACCCCACCGGCGCATGAATCCGTGGCACCAGGGCTCTAGTTTGAATGATAAAATTCAATTAATAAGTTTTAAAAAAAAATACTCCTGATGAAACTGGTGTATTGCTAATACCAAACAAAAGCCAGACTTCTTCCTCTGCAAGAAGAAAGTCAACTGGGGGGAGAGGGGGGGTGTTTGTACTCCTGATCCAGGGAAGCGAAGGGAAGCGACCTTTGTCTTGAATTAAATTCGTTGGCAACAAAAACAGGGTTCTCTGAAAGCAACATATATGAAAGCCACGCCTGGGACTTCGAGTGG